TTTAATATATTCTTTGTTGTATGTAGCATGCTATCAACTTTACTACTGTTGAAAGTTCTAACCATGGTGAAAAGTCACTCAAGGTCAATGGTTCGAATCCTATCACCTACCGTTTTGTTTTTTATTTATTTTAAGCCACTTTTCATAACAACTGGAACTACCAATCATGGTGAAAAGTCACTCAGGGTCATGGAGAAATATAAAAGTGTTTATTGAGTTTCTTCACTGTCCTTAAACAAACCTTTGTTATCCATTTAGTGAGTATGAATGCTCAAAACACTATAATTAGTGATCCACATGAATCCTAAAACTTAGACGAACTTCCAACTTAGACGAACTTCATCTTCTACCTCCAAATATCATGTTTCATTTATGACATTCTATTTCTCCACTAAACCAAACTCGAAAATATCATTTCTTCCATAAACAAAACTCAAAAACATCATTTCTTTCATTAACAAATTTCAGAACTCCATTATCTCTTCTCCAACTTGAATGATACAAGGAAATATGGATTCAACTTAGCAATGTTAGTTGTTGTTATTGTTCGATTTTTTGTTATTGTTATTGTTATTGTTGTTGTTACTATTATTGTTATTCTTTTTATTGTTTTTTTGTTGTTCTTGTTGTTGTTAATGTTGTTGTTATTGTTCTTCTTCTTCTTCTTCCTGTGTTGTTTATTGCTTTTGTTTTTCTTATTGGTGTTCTTGTTGTTCTTGCTGCTATTGTTGTTCTACTGTTGTATTTTTTAATTTTATTAAAAGACATACAACAACAATTGTTTAATACAATTGTGATTGTATATAGTGTGATATCCAATTTACTATCACATGTAATAGACCATGATTGTAAATAACTCACTTACAACTACACCCTATCTAACAACAATTGTTCAACTGTTATTATAGGTCTTTCACAATCGTTGTTATATGTGTTTTTGTAGTAGTGATGACTTGCATTTGGTGACTTGAAACTTGGCCATGTTGACTTGAGATTTTGGAAATGTGGCTCAAAAGCTTCAAAATATCTTAATAAACTAACTTGAAAGTGGATTGGCTTGGTTAAAAAAATGGCTCAAAATATCTTAAGAATATCAACTTGAATTTGGCTAAAAAATGGTTTAAAATATGGATCTTGAATTGAATATCAAATATGGCTTAAGAATGGCTTGAGAAAGATCTTACCATTTTATCTTGAATCAACCAATGGTTTGAAATTCAATTAAAATTGAATATGTGGCTTTCAAAAGTAACAAAAAGTTTGAATTTAAAACATATGAAAACCAAATCGAACATGCATATCAAATAAAATTGACTTTGACTTTTAACTTTGACTTTTAACTTTTAGGAATGGAATGGACTAAATGAAATGATGAATAAAAATGAATGATTGACTTAAAAATGTGATGAAGACATGGTTGACTTCGACTTTTCAAAAAAAAAAGAAATCACACATTAGATGAATATATGAAATGGGCAAGGGGAAAAATAGGGGTATGATAGTGATAATACCATGACTTTAAATACTTATTTTAATATGAATCATGTAATGAATACACCTCCACCGTTTTATGGTGAATGTTTGTCATGTGGAAAACAATACTGAAAATTTTCATTGACACAACTTTCACCATCAATATCAATTTTGGAGAATGTGGGAATTTGGTTTTAATCTTGAAAGGTATTAATTAAGATTCTTTGCATGTGATGGTAGTTAATCTCGATGCATGTGAATTTTTATATGATAAAAGAATTATAATTGTGATTTTTCGTGAGTTGATACCAAGAACATCCTTGTAATGGATATCAATATTAGGCTTGAGTGAGTTATGAGATTTGTGAATTTTTCAAGTATTGGTTAATGTTATAGGTTTTTGGGGGGTTGAAGGGAAAAATTATGACCATAATGTATATTACAACTCGCTCGTAATGTCTCTTGAGTTCATATCGATTGAGAACAATGTCGAAGTTGAAGATTCCCTAGGTAAATTACGTCTGAAATAATTATTATGCCCAACCTATAATCTTGACTGCCATCGATCATTTGGGAAAGCTAGTTTAGCAGGGTATGCATGGGTAAATTACGGTTGTAAGAGATATTACTCCCACCTTGTAATTTACTCACAAACATTTATAAATTCCAATTTCTTTATGCTTTAACCTTATCTTAAGGTAACATTGATTTAGGACATTATTGGTATGATGATAGGCATGGGCTTCATCGGAAATGAACATAGAATATGCCACACAAGGGCTAGATTGCTTAGGTTTGAGACCCTAAAGTGCCAAGTATAACTAGAGAGTTGGTCATGACTTGTCTACCCAGGTAGATACCTTGTATGATCCTTAAAATATATAATGATGTTATGTGATAAAATATTAAGATGGCTAAGGTGAGTACCTTAAAAAGGTAGTGATGATTGTACTTTGTAAGAATGGCATCCATGCTATGGTTGAGATATGATACGATTGAAGAGGAAAATGGAGTAAAATTCATAAGATGTCATCTTATATATCGAAGTGAATGCATCGAGATGTCTTATGTGGTTGTGGATTACAATCATAATTCATAAGTATGTAATGTGTTCCATTGATCCAATTGGAGAGTATGTGATTATCCTGAAAGATATATGACTTATCCCAATAACTTAACTCATGGATATACGATTTATCCCGACGATCCCTGATAGAGTAATACATGGTTATTTCAATATACCCAAATGATGGATATTACATTATTCATTAGAGGATATGGATCTTATCTCAATGGTCTAATCACACAAATATGGTGTTATCCCAAGATCAAGTTGTAGGGAATATTGAGTTGTCACGTGAGTTGGTGGATATATCTTGGTGCTTATGTCTTGGTGCTTATTTCTTGGTGATTTAGTGTATGGCATGTGAGTTGTTTGGGTCGAGCCAATAAAGGAATAAAGATGTTATTCTGATACTCTAGTTGGTGGATATGGTGGTTATCTTGTAATCATGTCAAGTTTATGAATACCAAATTATCGATCTTAGAGTGTGTGTGCTGAGAAGTTACCTTTAATGGTTGTTAATTATCTTGATCATAACATATAACTTTGACGATACGCTCTGGCATGCTCGGGATCGAAGCGTCATGAGTATAGTTGGATGGTCAATGATTTGTATGCCACGTTTGATAGTCGAGTACTACTTATATGGTCCATGGCCTACGGGATATAAGGGACTATGCATGGTTTAGATCTTGTGAGTGACGATAGGATATGCAAAAATCCATAGACTATGCTCATGGGATGGACCCCATGTGGGTTACCTAGGGGATATATGGTTATTGATGCCTTTTAGGTCCTATGGAGGATTAATAATTATCCAAGTAGACAAGTTGGGTTATGCGAGTTACCTTGACGGATTATACAAGGTATAACTTGAACCAAGTAGAAGGATATTGAGTGAGTCAGTGGTTTAGATAAGTAACCCACCGAGATTAGTATCTCACCCTTATGTTGTTTTATTATTGTTCTGATAAGCAACTACTTGAATTGGATTTGTAGCTTTGGACTTGGCACGAAATAGGAAAAGAAGCACACTTTCGTTACGCTGAAGAATTATGTCAAACATATCATGTATCAGTTAAATTCATTGTATTTGTAAAAAAAATATTTCGATCAATTCCAGACTTGTACGTTGATGTATCATGGTCTAATAGGAGAAACCTTTAATTCATCAACCAGAAATCATATTTAGATGCTTGAAAAGATTTATTCAAAGATTCATCAAAAGATTCACATGAAGCATATTCAAGAAGATCGTTAAAGGAGTTAGACAAAGAATAAGATGTATTCTCTAAAGATACTTACGAATAAGATGACGATGATGTGACTACTCTATCCTAAGCAAATGCTTAAATTAAGGTATAAGCTTATTAAGGAAAATTAGAAGTTAGAATAAACATAATATACTTTAAATATCATATTGAATTTCTTGAAAGTAGTAATAAAATTCTCAACAATTAATTGAATGATTTTATAAGACAATCTTTAAAATCTAAAAAATATGAAAAATGAGATTCTTTGAAAAATGAAGTTAAGAGTTTGCATGAAATCATAGGTAAATTCACTAAAGGTAAATACAATCTATACTTAATCTTATCAAATCAAAGGGCTTCATATAATAAAAGTGGATTGAGTTAAAAACCTAATAAATTGTGCATAAGCATTTTCCATGCCAAGACGAAGACCAATCAATATGTGTTTAAATGAAATTATTCTCATAAGCTTGGACATTTAGAACTTTTTTGTTATGCTAAATTAAATGATTTAAGATGCTCTAAAAAGTATAACTCAAGACATCTTAAGACCACTATGCTCTAAAAAGTATAACACAAAATGACCTAAAGATCATGTTCTAACTAATAACTATGCTCCAACTTACTTCTCTAACAACTTCTCCTTTCAAGAGCAAGAAAACAAGTTATACAAAAACCATGTTGCCAAGAATCTCACTCCATTTTACTATGTGGATGAAAGTGTGTTTGGAGGTTGTCAATTCTATGATGTCTTCTTCTAAGCAAAATTTAAAGATTCCATCTGCAACACTTCCAAAGAGATGTTTCCCACCTTGGTAAAAATGTTTTATTCCAATCTTAACTACACATATAGAATCATCACTTCTAATGTATATAACCAAGATATATCATTAACTTTGAAAGAATTTGCTGAAACTTGTGGTCTTTCTTGCACCGACTCTCTACATAAGCCTAATGAGTTAGAAACAAGTGAGAAGTTTAATTTTGATGTTGCTTCTCAATCTCTCGTATCAAATCTAAAGTTAGGTATGCCTTTTTCTCTCACTATTGGCTTTTCTCTTTCATATTCTCATTTCATTCACTATGTGACAACCCATATTCTTACCCCAAGAAAAATTCAACCTTAAGAAAGTTTCCAAAACTAGTGTTGTTTTGACTTGGTTACTAGTTAACAAAGTTGAAAAAAATTGGGCAAGCAAGGTGATTTGTAAATGATGGAAAACAAGAAAAAGGGGAATGTGTGGTTACCATATGGTGATATGATAACAAAAAATCTGGAACACATTGGCTTTAATCTTAAGGAGGAAAAGTCAAAAGAGAACTTAACAAGGATATGGAAACATACTTTGGGACAAATGGAAATGACCATCTACAAAGGAGGTACAGTTTAGAAATTTCCCAAAGCAAGGGAAAATGGTCACAGTCTGCAAACTCCAACTCAACAACAAGCACCACAACATGTAAGAACTTTAAAATTGGAGGATTTCAACTATGAGATACCTCAAACTCCACCTATTAAAGCTCTCATAAACACCATAATTCATAACCACCAAACTCACATCATAGCTCAAAACTTGTCAGATACCAAGATTGATTCCCGATTCACAAACTCCCTGAAATCAAAATGCCTTTGCCTCCTAAGATGTTTAGTGATGATGATGAGGATACTAAATAATCCTTATGTGTTTTGCTTGTTGTTTTCCTTACTTTCCTATTTTGTCATTCCCTTCCGCTATGAATATTTAATTATACCGAAAAGTACAAGATATTAATCGAAAAGAAAAACTTATAAAACAAAGAATAAATTCAATATGAACATTAAATAGTGATGTTAACTAATATATCAAGATTGTCTCTAATATATATATATATATATATATATATATATATATATATATATATATATATATATATATATATATATATATATATATATATATATATATATATATATATATATATATATATATATATATATATATATAAAATGCGATCTTATGTTATACTCAAACTCTAATGTTAGTCTATTCCGACATATTTAAAACATTACCATTAATCTAAACATTTTTCTCATGTTTTATTTGATTTTAACAATAAAAATAGAAAATAGAGAAAAGAAAAACAAACTTGATCATTTTAGACATTAATTTTCATTCACATTGAAAATAAAATATTTCTCAAATTAGAAATACGACATCACATGTCAATCAATATTAAACAAATTTTTTTTTTAAATACAACTTTGATGAAAAATATTTAAATTTAAAGATCAAACAAATTTTACTTTAAATAAGTGTTTATTCCCTTCGAAATATAAATTTTAAAATTTAGCATTTTTTACTTTTTTTTCAAATAAAAGAAATTTATCTAATATACAAAACTTATTCTTCTTTTATAATAAAAACAAAGCTTATTTGAGAAGAAGAAGAAAAGGCTTGTTTACATTTTCTAGATTTTCTAGATGTGAAGGACATAGTCATAATTTGGCGATAAGTTCGTGAACATTAGTTTTTTCCTTAGACCTTAACGTAGAGAAACACAACCCAAGAAATTTTTTGATCCAATGGTGAATAATCATCCACGTGTCGATTCATCCCCTTTGATCCATATTTTCTTGCAATTTCTTTTTTCCTTTTCTATCAAATTTTCATTTTTGTTATAAACTCTTTACCCTGTCACACCAGAAAGAAACCCTAGTTTTCTCGCGGTTAAAAAAAAGAAATTATATTCATTTTTAATTTTCAATTTCAGAGGATTCAGTTAGGGTTTCAAATCGGCGACCATGGAATTCGGAAACCCTAATCTTTGAATTGGGGCTTTTGATCTCTGCGATGTGTGGAATGAATCGGGTATTGCGTATGTGTAAGGTATGTATTCAATTTTGAATTTTGATTGATGGGTTGTTGTTTGATTTGGTATAGAAGTGCATTGCATGGGGGTTGTTGGGTATGATCAATTTCATTTTTGGTTTTTTTTGGGTGAGGTGTTGTTTGTGAATTTGTTTTTGCTGGTTTGGTTTTTCAGATCTGAAGAGAATGCATGTTGTGTTATGTGTGATGGAATGTGTGGAATGTGAAAATTTGGGTGGGAATATGTATGATGGAATGTGAAAATTTGGTGAATTTTGGTTGGGGTGTTGATTTTGTTCATGGAAGGTAGAGAAGATAACTCCAATGGTGCTGCAATTCCTAAGAAATCAAGATCTCTTGATGTTAAAAGTTTGTATAAATCGAAATTGACAGAAGAGGGTTCGAAGAAAAACTCGAAGAGGAAGAGTAGTAGTGCTCCTGGGGGCGGTGATGAGACGAGGAGTAAGAGAAAGAAGGCTAAGAAAGAAGTGGTTTTGAGTAGTTTAGAAAATGGTGATGGTAGTGGGAAGAAGGTTGCTGATGAAGTATGTGAAAAAGGGGCTAGTTCGGGTGGGGGAGATTTGGGTGAAGTGAAATTGGGAGTGAGTGAAGTGTTTAATAGTGGTAGTGGGATTAATGGAGGTTTGCTTGGTGTTTGTATTCCTAAACGTAAAAGGACTTTAGTGGGGCGGAAGAAATCTGATCCTGGTCAATCATTGAGTCTGGTAGGGCATCCTAGTATTAGCGTTGGCCATGATGATCTGGTGCCTAAGTTAGGTAGTGATGATTTGGGTAGTAGGGCAGTTCAATCTTCAAAGAGTAATTTGAAGAAACATTTTGATGAATTTAAGGAAAATAGGAATAGTGATTCAAATTCAATTTCAGTTCAGCATGTCACGGAGAATGGGGATCATGCCCCTAATTCTGTTGTAAATAGTGGTATTTCTTCTTTAAAAAAGTCCAAAAAGAAAGATAGGAAGCGAAAGACTCTGGCTTCAGATAAACCTAGGGTTTCGAAGGAGGCTGAGCCTTTGATTGATAGCTGTACAATATCTGTTGATTTGCAGGATGATGATGAGGAAAATCTTGAGGAGAATGCAGCCAGGATGCTTTCTTCAAGGTTTGATCCAAGCTGTACTGGGTTTTCTTCTAGTAGCAAGTCTTCTCCCCGGCCATCAGCAAATGGTTTGTCCTTTTTTCTATCTTCTAGTCAAAATATTGTTAATCGTGGCTCAAAGTCTCGGTCAGGTTCGGAATCAGCTTCAGTTGATACTGCTGGCAGACATTTGAGGCCAAGGAAGCAAGACAAAGACAAGGAAAAATCCAGGAAGAGGCGCCATTTTTATGAAGTTTTGCCTGGTGATGTAGATGCATATTGGGTACTGAACCGTAGAATTAAAATATTTTGGCCTTTGGACCAGAGTTGGTATTATGGCCTTGTCAATGAGTATGACGAGGCGCAAAGGCTTCACCATATTAAATATGATGACCGAGATGAGGAATGGATTAATCTCCATACTGAGAGGTTCAAACTCTTGTTACTTCGTAATGAAGTTCCTGGACGTGCAAAAGGGAGAAGGGATTTGACAAAAAGTAGAAGGTCTGATCAGCAAAACGGAAGCAAGTCCGAGAAAGAAAGGCAAAGAAGAGAAGTGATTACGAAGGATGATAGTTGTGGTGGGAGCTCTATGGACTCAGAGCCTATAATTTCGTGGTTGGCTCGATCTTCTCATCGGCTTAAATCTTCTTTTCATGGGATTAAGAAACAGAAAACTTCTGTCACACATCCAAGTCCAACCTCATCATTGTTATACGATGAACCTGTTTCAGTAAAGGGAAATGAAACTAAGAGTTCATCTAGGGATGTTTCAAATAATTTTTCTTGTGGTTCTATATCACAAGAAAAATTAAGTGATGATTTGAGGGAGAAGTCCTCATTGCAAAGTGCCACTCAAATTAAAGATTCCAAACAGCCTGCTGTATATTTTAGAAAGCGGTTTCGAAGGCCAGCTGGAATGTTGCCTCCTGCGCCTAAAGAGAAACACATCATTGTAAGAACACCCTGTTCTATTTCCTTTGATCATGTGGTTGGTGGGATTCAGAATGTAAAACAACCAAGGGGCAGGAGGTTTGAGGGGCCACTGTGGTTCAATTACAACGAGGGAGTATCAAAAATGTTTTGGAACATGGAGTCAGCATCATTCAAATTCCACTTAAATTTTCCTATACGGTTGATTCTAAATGAAGCTTTTCAATCCGAAAATCTGTGGCTGCTCTATGCTGTTTTACTGCTTCGGTATGGTACAATTGTGACCAAGTGGCCAAGAGTTTGTTTGGAGATGCTGTTTGTTGATAATGTAGCTGGGTTGAGATTTCTATTATTTGAAGGTTGCTTGAAGATGGCTGCAACCTTTGTCTTTTTTGTCCTTAGGGTTTTCCACCAACCTGCTCCCCTAGGGAACTATGACTTGCACTTGCAGCTTCCATTTACATCCGTTGGGTTCAAGTTTTCCAGTCTTCATGCTATCAAGCAGCCACTTGTGTTTGCACTCTACAATTTCTCCAGATTGAAGAGTTCACGTTGGGTGTATTTGGATTCCAAGCTGAAGAGACACTGCTTACTCAGTAAGCAGCTCCATCTATCTGAATGCACATATGATAACATCCAGGCACTTCAGCATGGATCAAGTGAGTTCACCGCAGCTTCCATCAGCCGGCCCTCGTCAGTCAAGGTACTTTTTCTGTTCCCCTTTCTATATATTTCCTCATTGGTATTTCCACATTGTCCCTTTTAAAACATTACTTGCCACATTTAATACTTATTGCTATTAATTCATTATTGTACATCATGTTCAAGCTTTTAAGAATCGATGCAAATTAGCTTATGTTAGGATTTGTTGAGTTAATTAGTGCAACTTCTGTATGACAGGTCATGAGGAAGAGGAGTAGGCCAGGGATTAACATCATGGGTGTTTCTAAAGTGTCCTCTCAAGTTAATACTCATCAATCTTCTGATTCTGGCGAGAGGAAGCTTCCTCCATTTGCTCTTTCTTTTGCTGCTGCGCCTACTTTTTTCCTCTGTTTGCATCTTAAATTGCTTATGGAGCAGTCAACAGCTCACATAGGCTTTTGTAATCAGGAACCAACAGATGGTCAGGAAGATTCTGGTTTGGTCACTGATGACTATTCTAACATTGATGATTGCTCTAACAGGAGTTCAGAAATTATTCTGCAGAAAGATACGACAACCTTGTCAAATGAAGCTACAGGTGATGGACGGCCCTGTCCTGGGTTAGATCCTTTAATGGGCCCCTCTGCTAGTGGTGATCAAGCTGTCTCTCAAAATGGCAAGAGTATTGACCTTCATGGTACTGGAACTTCTATTTCCCATGGTTCTGAGGGGCTTGGTAATACTCACTCAGCAGAGTCACAATCCCATCATTCAGCACCAAAGCTAGGATCTTTACCTTCAAGTTCTTTTATACACCAGGATAAGATGGATGAAGGTTCTCATTCTTTTAACGGTGATCTCCATGTTCAGATTCCTTCTGTTGATGAATTTGAGAAGCCTAATAATGCTCAACAGTCTCCTGATTTGTCTTGGAATGTAAATGGAAGTGTTATTCCAAGCTCCAATCGAACTGCTCCAAGAAGTTCCTACCGGAGCCGGAATAGTTCAATGTCATTGGGATTCCAGTCACCTTTGTGGTCTGATGGCAAGCCTGACTCTCTTTACAATGATTTTAGCAGTGGACCCAAAAAGCCACGTACACAAGTATCATATTCAGTGCCTTTTGCAGGGTATGAGTTAAGTTCAAGGCACAGAGGCCATAATCAGAAAGGGCTTCCTAACAAACGAATTAGAAAGGCTAGTGAGAAGAAGTCATCAGATGTTGCTAGGGCCCCTGAAAAGAATTTTGAATGCTTATCTTGTGATGCAAATGTCTTGATTACAGCTGGTGATAAAGGGTGGAGAGAATATGGGTCCCATGTTATACTAGAGATGTTTGAACATAATGAGTGGAAACTCTCCGTAAAAGTTTTAGGAGTTACAAGGTATTCATACAAAGCACTTCAGTTTATACAGCTTGGATCAACAAATCGTTATACACATGCCATGATGTGGAAAGGAGATAAGGATTGGATCTTGGAATTTCCTGACAGGAGTCAGTGGGCTCTATTCAAGGAGATGCACGAGGAATGCTACAACCGGAACCTGCGTGCTGCTTCAGTTAAAAACATACCTATTCCTGGTGTTCACTTGATAGAAGAAAATGATGATAATGGATCTGAGGTAACTTTTGTTCGGAGCTCTATGTATTTCCAACAGGTTGAAACAGATTTCGAGATGGCTCTGAATCCATCCCGGGTTCTATATGACATGGATAGCGAGGATGAGCAATGGTTTTCGAACATTCGAGGTTCTGATAAGTACAACAGTGACTTGAATGGGATCACGGAGGAGATGTTTGAGAAGACAATGGACCTGTTTGAAAAGGCTGCATATGCTAAGATGCGTGATCAGTTTACACCACATGAAATAGAGGAACTCACGTTTCACGTTGGGCCTTTGGGTATAGTCAAAATCATTTATGACCATTGGCTCCAGAGAAGGCAGAAGAAGGGAATGGCTTTAATACGACACTTTCAGGTACTGTTCAATTACTCCTGTTCACGTTATGATGTTTTTATGAATGTCTCTGTTTCTTTTTAACTCCTACATTGAAATGATAGACTAGCTTTGCTGAGACACTTGAAGAGTAGGATGAGAGAATGGGGGCGGGAAGAGAGATAAGAACAGTAGCTCTAGAAAAGTTCTCCACTTTCTCTAGGTTTTTAGGAGAACTCCTACATTACCCACAAAGAAGTCAATAAAACTTGGGATACAAAAGGTGGAGCAAATAACGGTTCTGAAACTTGGTATTTTCTTCCACTTATTTATAAAACCCTACAATGCTACCAAAAAATTACACTGCCAATGAATCTTAAAAGAGTTGAAATCCTACTATAGCATCCAATAATAGTAGACAGAAAATGGACAGAGAAAGCTGGACTAACCACTGCTCCCTAAAAATGCCAAATTGAAAGATATGTTGTTGTGCTCATTATTATACGGTAGGTTTCGGTTTTGTAGCCAGTTGGCTTGATATGGTGGTTGGTGGTAATTTCTTTATCCTAGGATGTTTTCACGGCTTACATGTTAAACTAACAGAGTTGATTCAAATGGTTCATCATTAGTTAACATAGATGATTCATTTCAATTGCTATAGTATAATAAGTGGGTGTAATATTGTGTTCAATTGGCGAAAGCATGATGACTATGCAATTTACCTTGTCTTTTTCTGGGGATGACCGGTATGTGTATGCTCCGTTATTGTTTGCCTGAAATTTTCATGTGCTTTTCAGATGCCTATGTGGGAACGATATCAACAGAAACTGAAGGAGTGGGAAGTAGCGGTGACCAAGAATAATATTTCTTCTAATGATTGCCTGGACAAGGGTGCAACTTTGGAGAAGCCACCCATGTTTGCTTTCTGTCTGAAACCAAGAGGTTTGGAATCACAGAACAAGGGATTAAAACATCGATCTCAAAAGAAAATATCAGTCTCTGGGCATACAAACAGATTCCGATATCACGATGGTTTTCAAACTAATGGTAAGAGTTTATTTCATTTGTTACAATTACAATTCGAAAACAAATTAAGAACTTTCTCCTTACATCTATTTGTTGTGGCTCCAGGAAGAAGACCAAATGGCTCAGCATTTTCTGATGAAAGGTACCCAGGCCATAATTATGATTCTTTGGATGATTCTCCATTGCCTATGACATCACCAAGAGTATTCTCCCAACGGGATACTGCCAGCATGAAATATTATTCTATGAGCAATGATGTATACTACAGAAATCATATGCAGAAACTTAACAGGAGCAAGTCCAAGAAACTTGGGTCATTTATGCATAATAATGATTCGCGTACACCGTCTTCCTACAGCCAGAGGCTGCCAGCGTCGTCAGCTAAAAGAAACGGGGTTAGAACAAACATGGTCAAATATGAGTTACCAGGTCAAAGGAAGTACGTACCAGATAGCCCTCAGAAGCAGTGGATTGAACAACTGAATGGTTCAGACCTAGAGGAGTTTAGACGGCGTGACTTAGTAAATGCTGCTCAGCGTGCACGCAAAATAGCTAAGTTAAAGAGAGAGAGGGCTAAAAAATTGCATTCTAGAGCAGATGTAGCAATTCACAGGGCCATGGTTGCTCTTATGATTGCTGAAGCAAAGAAAGCTTCCGAGGAAGAGGTTGGTGAAGGTAATAAGAACCAACATACGAGGCTCCGATAACTTCAACTTCAATAATTGTTCATCTGCAAAAGGGGCTGCGATGAGGAGATTTTGCTGCTGCGAAGTTCATCTCCTTGCCATTGGCTACCTGAACCTTTTTTTTTTCCAGCTTGAGATCTGCTTTTGTTCAGATTTACTGTTGCATTGATCTCATGGTATAGGTCTTTTGAATTTTTGGCTACCTATATTTGTACAGATTCCCTCACTCCCAATTTGGCGTTTGTGCCCTCTTTCCTGCTCCACCCCCCTTTTCAGTTTCAAATATTCAACATGAAAATAGAAATTGGCCAAATAATACAACAACAGTTTGAATGGAAATTTAGTTCTGTTTCTTTGAAAGTTTTTTGGTGAATGGTAGACTATAGTTAGTGCCTATGGCAAAGTTAATAATCAGAAGGTTTGTTTGATTACAGTTTTTGATTTATTTCTTTTGGTGAAAAGCTTCAACAACAACCGAGTCTCATATTATTAAGTGGAGTCTTATATAACTAAGTGGTTGCCAATTCTTTTTTTCTTACTAAATGTCGAAACTACTAAAGTCTATCTTTTACATTTTTTTTTTAAATATAGGTGCTACATAAATCCCCTATCTAACGTTATTTAATCTATCTACACATACAACACGTAACAATCCTCATATTTGATTCACTTATTGGTTTTTAACGGTTGTCTAAAAAAATTATTTATATTAGAACATATGAAGTTCTTCATTTTAATCCATCAGCTTATTTGATGTTTTAATTCTCATTTGATTTTTTTTTTTGGTTTGGATCAGAGATATTGTCTTTTGCTAAATTTATATTCTATATATTTTGTTTTACTTCGCCAAAATGGAAGTCATATGCATCTAAGGATCGTCTCTAACCCTCTCGACCACTCTATTATAAGTTGTAGTAAATAGATAATTTTTATGGTCATTTTCCTAGACACAGTATGCTCTTTACAAAATGTTTTGATAAACTAAAACTAAAATTTTAGTCTTGTAAAAAAGTTTAAGAACATTTGATAGGTTAGAGTCTGGTACAATCCTACAGTGATGTGTTTTTTTTAACATTTAGTGTGCGTGTCAATTTTACCATAAGAAGACTCTTTAAAATTACAAAAAGAATAAATGAAAAAACCAAGTCATCAAAAAAACCCTAAATCTTTTCCCTTTGCAGGTACTATATTTTGCCTCAATCATTAGAGTTACATATATTCACAAACACAAGAAAATTAATGTTATAGGATATTAATGCGTATACATATGAGTATTTAGGAGAATAGATTCCTAACATACCAATGAAAGAAGTTAGACTCACAATATACTCCTATAATATTTTAAATAAGATCATATAAATTGTTTTATACTGATTTTCATAAGAACTAACCTTGTCGTTGAAATTTCTTCAATGCTCTCTGTTATGCAGCTGAAAGCAAAGAGGAAGTACTCTGAAAATAAAAAGAATTTTCTGATTGATTGATAATATAAGAACCACAAAAATGAATTTGAAATAATTAGAAGAGGAATTCAAACCTGTAAGGTTTTGCCAAAGCAAATTTCAAAATAAAATGGGCTTTTAGGGTTTGATGAGCTGATGACATTGGAGAAAATGAGGAAGCCCTTCACATAAGTAGGCCATCATTTCGAAACCAAAATTTTGCAAGATGGAAGAAATTGATGCAGGTGTAAATGTAGGTTTAATGCCCTCAAATCAAAATCAAATATACTTTCACAAGAATTTTTCAAAAAATAAATATTTCGAATAGGCGGGTATATGTTTTTGGTAGAAAACAATTGTATTCAAAATTAAGCGGCATAAAGATTTACTAACTACGCTAAACGGTGCAAAGAATAGCAAAAAAATTTGACGATAAATAATAAAACTAACCGTGCAAAAGATTTATGAAATATCATAAAATATAAACCCTAAATTCACAAAAATTTATGAATTACACTAAACGACGTGAAGAAGAGCGAAACAAAACCTGAAGATAATGTAATAAAACTAATCATAACAGATAGTTGTATGAAGAAAATGAATGAAGATGAAAAAGTAATTATTATATAACAATGATTGATTTTTGTATAAATTTTTCTCTTTTACATTCAACACCCTTTATATAATATCATAAGATTTTTAAAAAATAATATTTCGAATGGGCGGAATACATATTTTCGGTAGAAAACAATTGTATTCAAACTAAGCGGCACGACGATTTATAAGCTACGAGATTTACGAGCTACGCTAAATGGTGCAAAGAAGAGCGAAACGAAATTTGACGACAATATAATAAAACTAACCATACACGTATAGTGGTTCAAAGATTTATGAACTATGCTAAATGGTGTGAAGAAGAGTGAAATGAAATTTGACGATAATGTAATAAAATTAATCATACACAAATAGATGATAAGGAAAATGATTGAAGATGAAAAAGTAATTATTATATGATAGATTGATTTTGTATAAAAAAAATTCGAATAAAATTCAACAACATTCACACTAATTGAGACTTCTACTTGTCTTACACGAGCGAGGTCATAAATATTGTACTTTTTCTAAATATGACTGACATTCACCGTAGAGCCTCGGTAAAATTAACCTAAGTCACACTGAATTTTTCCACATAATCTTTATTCTCTTGAACCATTGTTTCATATTAATGGGCATGAGACTTAGATCTACTTGTTGTGGCGAATACATGTCAACAAGGATTCAAATAGTGTCCATGATCATGATGAACATGGTGAGGATTTTTTTAATTGAAAATGACTAATTTGTAGACCCAGTCTCCCAAAGTGCATCGTCTAAGATAACATGACCTAGTTTTTAGTTCCACAATAGTTAAGTTCTGCAAACATTTGAAAATTTAAGCCAAATTCATATTAGTGGAGCATCCCCAATCCACCATATAAGTTGAATATGCTAATAAAGTCATCTTGTCCAGATTCAAGAGGAAGCTCGATGAAGCAAATGGATCGTGGCTCAAAAATTTCATGAAGTACTATAATATGGTTACATTACACAACACCATACTCATCCACCAAAGAGACACCCTTTAAGATTATGTATGGCTCTGACACCATGCTACTTGTTGAGATTGACACGTGAACCTAATGACATGAACATTTTAGTGAGAAAGTTAAATGTACACCCACATTGTTTTTCTCATCTTCTTAAAATAACATTAATCCCCATGCTCAATTTTTTTCATATACGTTTGATAAATTGTATAAAATTCATTTCTCACTATGTTTGTTCTTCAAAGAAATGGAGGAATGTCTTGTGAAGAAGATGTGTTCATCCTTCTTAGCCTGATTTTGATGAAGATAAAAGCCTACCTTAGAAGATAGATCAAAGAAGAAAAAAATTGGAAAGATTGGAATCAAAGTATCAAGTTTGCATAAAAGTTTTGGATTTCAATGTAACTGATTCATAGACCAAGGTACAATGTGTAATTGAGTTGTTACAAGCTTTAGGTGTTCAAGAATTAATCATAAAATTTTAAACATGCATTGGTTCAAATTTCATCTATTAAGAAAGCAAAAATTCCATTTTAAAAGTATGACAATCAATTGTCATCCTGAAGCAATTGATTGTCATATATCAATGGTAACGAAATTTTCGATTTTTAAAGATGACATGCAATTGATTTTCACAATGTAAAATTTTTGCATTTTTTTAATGTTAGGGGTATATGCAATCAATTGTCATGGCAAAACACTCAATTGTCATTTGTATGTTTTGGAAAAATATTGAACCAATATCATACCTCTTCATCTCAAAAGGTCATGAAACCTTTTCATATCATTGCATGATTTCATGATTATTTTTCAATCATTATTTACAAGAGGTATTCGGTGCATTATAAATAGAAGTATTTTTCAAATTCAAAATCACCTTCTTCACGAATAATTTTTTGTTTTTCAAGTGTCTATAACATTTAGCAGAAAAACTTTTTCCTGCATAATTTTCATTCATATGTGAAAAATGTTAGAGAAAACGCTTCAGAACTTAAATGTTTACATCATCTTGATTTGTTCATTGAAGAAGAAGAGTGAATTTTAATATATCACAAAAGTAGCAAAATTCAAATTTGATCAAGTCTGCTACAAAGTCTATCTGTATACTATTTCATCCATTTGCTGTATTTTTCACCAAGTGTGTGGCGATTTAATTTGTAAAGTGGTTGTACCTTCTACAAGTATTTTCAAATAGGAAGGGTTGTATTTCTAATTTTTGAAAAAGTTTTTTGAATCATGGTGATTCAAAGTCCATGATAGTTGTTGGTGTTGTTTAAAATCAAGGAAGTGATTCGATTCTTTATTATTGTTAGAAGATTGTAGGAGAAGTCTTGGAGTGAGGCATGTACAAAGATCTAACAATAGTGAAAATATTGCACGGAGTGGGAGGGGAATAAATGTACCCTTGGTTGATAAGAGGTACTAGTATATATTTTGTGTTCTTTATTTTTCTGCATTTAAATTTTGAACTTTATTTCATAAGTTCATCAACATATTTCTGGAAAAATAAGAACTTAAGAACCATCACTTAAAAACTCTAAAAATATTGGAAAATCTATTTCACCCCTCTCTTAGATTGTACACTCAACACTTACATATCTTAGATGTGACATCAATCTTCTTGATAAAATGTAGAAGATGGCATACATCTAGGAGTTTGCAGAAAAGTAAAGAGTAATAAGAAAGGACAATTCTAGATTCATACTGGGATAAATGAGATAGGGCGAACTATTATTCAAACAGGTACCATTGCCTTCCAAGATTGGAAATCTATCTCCCAAATTAGGAGTTCCCTTATAGGATATTAGATTTACTTCTACGTTGGAAGGTCTCAATGGCGATGGTAACTCTAGGTCTTGGAACTAAGTAAATTTGAGTCACTATTATAGTTGATTATAAAATTTTGAAATCCAATAAAGACAGATGAACAATTCATTTTGTAATTATCACATGGCTTCACATTATATTTCAAATTTGTATTCTTAGTTTATCA